GAATGAACACAATTAATCCACAGGAGGCAATAGTGTAAAAAGGAATATATGATGAATGCTCAAAACTGTGTTTCATGTGCCATCAGTTTCTAAAACGGACTTACGGTCATGATATCTGCAACAGCTCAGGCCACAGCAGGCATCAATTTGGCAATCTGCTACAAGGCTTCAGCTCCTGTTAGAGATTTGATAAAGCTTAGAAGAGTCAAAACCTTTATTCTTACTACCAGTATCTTCATTGAGTATTATATAAAGGATTTGATTTTTTCCTTTCTCTTCCTGAGATTCGGTTTTCTTTGTGGTGGACCAACCAAGCAGAGACAGGAAGGCTTTAAGCAAGGTTCCACAATCACTATGCTCACGGGGCAAGAAATATAGGCAACAGTTCTTAGTTTGTGTAAGATGCATTCTGATGTGGAAGTGTCACTTACTGTGTGTATAACTGCCTAACATCATGTTGGCTCTCACTGTAAATGTGGCACAACTTCCACATGCCTCCAGTAGCCTTTGCCTCCAAAGTCTGGTAGCCTAACAGAGCCTTGAGAGTCAAAGCCCAACCTACTTAAAGGGTTTATATGGCATTGAACAAAGGGCCCAAGGCTCCAATTTATAACCGTTTTCCCCCTGACAACTACTGTGGTTGAGGTGAAGAAAGGATGGAATCAGAGGACATACGGGGCAAACTGCTCTGGGCCTTTGGAAGGAAGGACCTGACGATTGCTTTTGACTCTGTGTGCCTTATCAGACTGAACTATACATATTTTCCATATTACTTATTACTTTATAGCAGGAGGTAAAGTCCTAATTGCTGACAACATGTCATTTAACTTTAGAAAAGGAGTTCATTCAGCAGCCATAGCTAAATACTTCCCATTAAGAATGTAGTTTTTTGTTTTTGTTTTTGTTTTTTGAGACAGGCTTACTGTGTGTTACAGTCATGGCTGTCATGGAACTTGCTTTGTAGATGAGGCTGACCTCGAAATCACAGAGATCCACCTGCATCTGCCTTGCAAGTGCTGGGATTAAGGTCGTATACCACCAAGCCTGGCTGAATGTTAAGATTTTTATCCTCCAATGGATTTGGTTGACACAGCAGAACATGTATTAGAGATATTAATCATAACCTCATGTCTTGGTTAAGGTTTCTATTGCTGTGAAGAGACACTATTACCACAGCAACTCTTACAAAGGAAAGCATTTCATTGAGGTGGTAGCTTAGCGTTCAGAGGTTCAGTCCATTATCATCATGGCAGGGAGCATGGCTCTGTGCAGACAGACATGGTGCTGGCTACAACTTGGTCACAAGGCAACAGGAAGTGGACTGAGGTACTGGGCGTGGCTTGGTCATATATGAGACCTCAAAGCCCACCCACACAGTGACATACTTACTCTTCCAACAAGGGCACACCTCCTAGTAGTGCCACTCCTTATGAGTTTATCAGAGCCAATTCCATTTCCACTAACACACTTGGGGTAGCAAGATAGGATCTTTAATTTTCTCACAGGCTTTAGACACTAGGATTAGCAGTGTATTCACAAAGGTCATATTGCTCCAGAGAATTTACATTACTTTGGCTCAGCTTTCCATTCCTCCAAGGGTACATTGTCAGCATGGAATGCTCTTCTGAGTAAGTAAGCATCTAAATACTAATAAATGACTCATCACTAGTGCACACAGGATTATATTTGACATAAAGACCTCGCTGAGTGAGCCAAGAACCCTAAATGCCACTGAGAAAGAAAAACCTTTGAGTAATTGCTATCTCCAAGAATATCTAAGGTCCGCCGGGGGCTGGTGGCGCATGCCTTTATAATCCTAGCACTCTGGAGGAAGAGCCAGGAGGATCTCTGTGAGTTCAAGGCCAGCCTGACCTACAGAGGGAAACCCAGGGCACCAAAACTTCACAGAGAAACCCTGACTCGAAAAACAAAACAAAACAAAACAAAACAAAACAAAACAAAACAAAACAAAACAAAACAAAACAACAACAAAAAAGAATACCTGTCGGGCGGTGGTGGTCCACGCCTTTAATCCCAGCACTCAGGAGGCAGAGGTAGGAGGATCTCTGTGAGTTCGAGGCCAGCCTGGTCTACGTAGTAAGATCCAGGAAAGGGGCAAAGGGGAAAAAAGAAAAAAGAATATCTAAGGTCCATTATGGCACAAGATTCTTATGTGTAAAGTGTGTTCTCATCTACTCACAACTTCAAATTGGTATATTTGATTTTTGTGCTCCAATTTCCAAGAGCTTAGAGACGATTATCTGGCAGTGCCAGAGTGTGCCTGTTAAAATATAACACAAATCACGCTGTACTTCTGCTTTACACGCCCAACGATCTCCCTCTCTCAGTCAAGGTAAAAGCAAACTTCCCTGTAGAGGCTGTAACCTGCAGGGCTTTAGGCTCTCTGAGGCCCCTGTGACTTCTCTGAGATCACCTCCCACAGTTCTCTACCTCCCTCCAGCAGTTCCAACCATGCTGCCATCCTGGCTGCTTCTCCTCAAACACACCAGGTCTTCTCTGGCCACTGAGCTTCAGCAACTGCCATCACTCTACCTGGAAGGCACATTTCCCTTGACTGCTGCTCAAGGGCCACACTCACTACCTTCACGGTTTCATTCCCAACCCAGAGGCTCCACGAGGCCTTTCCTGGCCACTCTGCTTCTCTAAAAAGAGCATTCTCCCCAAAAATTCATTTTCTCCAAACTAGCCTTGGTGTGTCCTTTCTTATCACTTATCAATATGAAAATGCTTCATACTGACTTATGAACTCGCTGGCTACTGCACATCCCCTGCAGTACAAAGAAAATTCCATGAGGATAAGATCGGTTGACCAGCTGCACGTGCTCTCAGCTGTGTCCAGAACAGTGCCTGGCAGAGCCCACCCACCCAAAGTGCTTATGGGACTAAGGTAAAACAAATGATCGGAGAATCTGTGGGATCAAGCATGTGGAATCAGACTAGTATCCCTGGATCTAGCCATACAGCTACAGATGCAGCTCCCACCAGGACACGGACTTGCATTTTTCCAGTGAAGCGGGACAACTGGAGGCCTGGCCAACTCAGACATTTCCAAGGTTAAAAGGACATGAACCCTTCCTCACACCAGGATGCTTGTATCCTTGTTGGGATGTGGTTCCTATTTCAAGGCGTTTATGTGATATGAACTTATCAAAAGCCTAACTGGTTGAGGAACACAACAGAAACACAAACACAAAACAAAACAAGGAAGCAAGGGGAAATGGTCCCCGCAGGACCTGCTGGTGTTGGCTGAGCAAAACCACATGATGTAGGAAAGAAAACTAAAGCTGCCCTGGTGAGGTGTGCTTGTCTTGTGTCATTCTTGAGGCAATCAGCCTACAGGCAATGCTTGCTAGGTGGTGAGCATCAATGAGATTTGACACCTTCATTCAATGTCTGGGAGATCCTTGCTTCCTCCATGTGTGGCTTTAGGAAGACCTCAGCAGCAGGAACCAGAAACACTCTTCTCTTGGGAGGCAGCAGCTGAGGAGGAGGAGGCAGAACACACACAGTGTTCTCAGAGGGACTTTGGAAGGAAGGAGAATGGCAACACAGAGAAGAGGAGGTCAAGGACCCATGTCCTGGACTCCACATTTGTGAAGCACTTTACTGGCAATGCCAATTCCTCTTTCTGCAAAGCACAGCCCTTCCAAGCGGCAGTGTACAGCCAAAGGAATTACTTAGGCAAAGGCCACAATCCCCAGCCCTATGTCCTGCCCTTGGTGATTATACCACCCTCTCCCAAAAGAGAGGGGCACAAATCTCCACCGGGGTTAGCTGTGAGTTTAAGAAGGCAGGAGGAGCTAGGTTGGGTAGGAGGTACTAGAAGGTGTCAGTTGCTAAAGGCTTTGCTGAGTCTAGAACGGGATGCCCAAGGAGGGGCAGTGTCCCTTTGCCTGGACACTGAATGGAGCCACCTGTGGCTTCAGGCAGCTGTGACAGTGCATGGACAGCCAAGTTCTCTCTATACCATGGAGACAGGAGGCACAATCATCAGATGCCCCTCCCCCCAGGAAGGCAAGGACTATTCCAGCAAGAGGAAGGACAGTGACAGGATTGCTATTCCTGGATTCACCAAGGATCCATTTTCCCAAAGAAAGAGCTTGCCCTTTGCCCAGAGCTAGCCAGGAACTCTTATTAGTTTGCTTAGACTTCAGACTGTGTCCGACTCTCTGAAACCAGACAAGCCTGATAGGTAGATACAAAGTTGACCGTTGGTTTTATTGTCTGAGTAGTCCCTGCCGACAGGCCCTTCGGTGACCCTCCAAAGCATGTGCTTTGTTTGACAGGTAACCATCGCCACTGTGGACAGCCAGCCGGAAGAATGTGGATGCGTCAGGAGGCCATTCCCCTTGGAATTGCTTCTCCCCCCAGTTACCTCCTTTAGTGTCTCTATCGCCTGTGCATGGATCCTCTGGCCTCCCAGAGCCTCTTCTCAGGGCCCTCCCTGCCTGGCAGACTTTGCCTCCCTTCCTGTGTACCTCTTACACTACTGTGTGTGTGCGTTCTTCTACAGGAGTTCTTCGGGTTTCCTGAAAGCCAGAAGGTGCCAGAAGGCTTCCCTCTCTTATCCCTCCCTCCCTTCCCAATCCACGTTTCTTCCTTCGCTCTGTCGCTCCCCCAGGGAGCCCCTCTCTCATTCTGGCTCCCTTCCACCTCTCCCTAGGCAGTCCCCTCCTCCTGTCCCCTCCTCCACAGCCCATCTCCAGTTCCTTCTCCTCCACCCCCCCCCCCCACCAAAACCAGACCAGCTAAGTCCCATTCCATTTTTAGATGACTGATTGTGATACCAGCTCACTTCTCTCACTGGCTGAATGGACAGCTGTTCCATCCTTCCCTGCTCCACCCACCAAACACACCCAGTCTTTTCCACAAGGCAAAATGCCTACAGACAGCTTTCCCACAGAAATGCGTATTTGTCAGGACAACCGTTATGCCCACAGTGAACTTCCTATACACTCAAAAGAAACAGCCACTGCATGTCTAGAAATTACAACTTTATTTCCACATTTGTGGCAAAACTTTGCCAAACAATTAATAATTTTTCACCAAGTCATAGACATAGATATGGAAATCATCGTTAAATTTGATGAAGTACACAGACGGTCTGGCTTCGACTTGGTGAATCACCATGCCCACCCTTTTGGAGCCATCATCTTTGGTATATTCCACAAGTTTGCCTATCAGACCATCCATACGTTCCAGGTCTCCGTCTAGCGGAGGATCCTCATTGAGCTCTGGCATGATACGGAGGTCACCCTCTTTATAATCATCCAGAAGCTGGTACATGTACAGGATGGGGTCTTTCTCATAGGTAATATAAAACCAGGCATCCAAGATAGGCGCCTGGGCCAGGACCATCCCCCTCCATTCATCCTTAGTGCCACGCTCACCCTCAAACATGTGTTCCACTGCCTTGCCAATTATGCTATCGGCAAGGCTGGGATCGGGAACTTGGAATGGTTCTACTGTGTCAGAGAGAACTTTAAGGGACAAGATCCTCTCATCTTTATGAAGTTCCAGTCCATAGACACAGTCAACTCCATCGTATTTCACCAGATAGAGAGAGGGGTTTATGGGCACCTGAGTCAGAATAGTGCCTCTCCACTGGGTGATGGGCTCATCTCCTTCCTTCCACCCATGAGAGATTCTGCAGCCCACGATGTTCCTGTTGGCCGGGGACGGAGATCTGCTCCTCTGCCTCTTCTGAGTAGCTTTTTTCTGGGTCAACTTTGCAGTCTCGGTGGTGTCCTCGTGGAGTCCTGCAGCTGTGCAGGTCTGTTGCTCTTTGGCCTCCAGGGTCCCAGAATTCAGGGCGCTGTGTCCTGGGTCCATGGCTGTGGAGGGGGAAACAGAAGAAACAGTTAGCTTAAGGAGCAATGGCCAACTTCTCCCTGTTTGCAGCGTCCACACCAGGGGCTGGTCCCTAACTGTTCCCCAAGGAGCCTAAGGACAATGCTGGAAACCTGGCTGGGAGCCTGCTGATGTGCTGTGCTCTCCTTGGTTCCCTGGGTCTTTTGGGATGGCTTCGAAAGTGGCAGCCAGGCAGGGGATACTCGACAAGATCGCCCCCGGAGCCCCACACCCGAGGGACTAGCGACTGTTATGCTCAAGCCCGGCGCCCCGCGCCTGACGAACTAGCCACTGTTACGCTGAAGCCCTGCGCCCCGCGCCCGCGCCCCCCACATCTCGCGCCCCCCTCGTCCCGCGCCCTGCGCCAGAGGAACTAGCGACTGTTATGCTCAAGCCCCGCGCCCCGCGCCCCGCGCCCCGCGCCCCGCGCCCCGCGCCCCGCGCCCCGCGCCCCGCGCCCCGCGCCCCGCGCCCCGCGCCCCGCGCCCCGCGCCCCGCGCCCCGCGCCCCGCGCCCCGCGCCCGCCCTCCCTTGGACAAGCTCCCCGGCCTCCGCCTCCCGCCCCCCGCGGCGACCGGCACAAACCTGTTTGGACGCGGAGCAGAGAAGCATGGCAAAGCGCCTCTCCTCCCTGCACCTTCCCTTCACCTCAGTGCCTTGAGGGCTCTCAGCCTCTGGCTACAGCAACCCCCCCCCCCCCTCTGTCTACCCAGCCGCTTCTCGGTACCCACCTCTGGGGTTCTCCGCGCTCACTCCGGATTCTGTCCTGGCTCCCTCGTAACGCCGCCTGTCCCTGCAGCCCGCGGCGGACCTCCTCCCCGTGCGCGCCGCTGCCCAGCGCTACTCTGTTTCTCTTGCCCGTTCCGTCCCCTCCCCCACCGCTCCTGCCGGGCGCCCACCTAGGAACTCGTCTTGCCTGCTGTCTTGTCGCGGGGGTCCAGGGCTCCGCGCGCGGGGATCGGACACCTTGAGGCTGCCTTCGTTCAAAGCCGGCGGCGAAGGCGCCCAGCCTAGGTACTGCTCCCCAAAGTCGAGAGGGGAGGATCTGCCGGCCCGCGCGCTTGGGCTGTCCGGAAGGGTGGTGTGGGGCAGGCGCTGGGGGTGTCCGGCCGTTGGTGGGCTCGCGGGTCCCTCCGCCTTCCTCTCCTGGAGGCGGCTGCCCTGCCACCTTTGGATTCCAACTGCTGCTGATCTCTCATTCTTAATATTTATTTGCGTCTTATTTTCTTTTCTTTCTAGTCCTCCCTTTTATGCTAAATTTTGCAGGGCTTTTTTGGTGGTAGTGTTTTGGTTTTTTTTGGATCTGGAGCCCCTCTTGCATTTCTTTTATATCCAGTGTTCATTATCGTGGATTCTGTACAGTCTTTTTAAGTCTTCTCTTGGTTTTCTCATACTCTTTATCACCATCTTTCTACTTTCTTGCTTGAGATAATTTCTTTCTGAGATTCTTTAAATTATTTGTCATAAAGTAGGTTCCAGAGTATACTCCTTTCCCCCAAAATTTAAGGGCCACTGACTTGGTCCAAAATTGAGTCCAAGGAATGCTCAAACTGAACTGTAGTAGGATTTCTGGTGGTTAGATAAAAGTCAGTGGTCCTCAGGAACTAGTGAAACTGGTTTGTCAGTGAAACTGGAGTCATTTCCTTTGCCTCTCTGCCTGGAGGGTCAAATGGCTTGCTATTGACATATACCTGTGTTTGCCTATCAAAGCCCTTGTTGGCCTTCAGGGTACTTCCTTCCCTATTCATACATTTTTGTTAAACACCTTAAAGCCCATGCCTGGATCCTGGCCTTTCTCACTTCCTCCTCTATTCTAAACTCACAGGCTGCTCCAGATCATGGGCTAACCTACCCTCAGCTACTCATCTTCCTTATAACACACATAATTGTTCCATGCCCTGCTTTCCTAGGGTTGGCTATATCCAGTCTGTTTCTTTTTTGGCTGCTCTGGACTCTTCCAGATGCCTCTGGATGTTCTGTCTCTTTCCTACAATTAAAACCTCCCAGGGTTGGGGATTTAGCTCAGTGGTAGAGTGCTTGCCTAGCAAGCACAGGCCCTGGGTTCGATCCTCAGCTCCAGGAAAAAACAAAAACAAAAACAAAAACCCTTCCCCCCCCTTTACCATGGAGCAGCCACCTCAGCAGTTTCTTTACTGTGCCCCTTGCTTATACTGTCAAATTTACATATAAACACAAAATTCACAGTTTGGTCATAAATACATTTTGGCAATAGATCATTTTATGTATATACTATGTGCACATTTATAAATATACAATTATTAATATTCACTACTAATAATTTTTACCTATGATGATGTGGATATCCAGTGTCACATAATCCCAGCGTGCTGCTCAGTTAAGTTACATTAGGCAAGGCATAATGCTTTGTATAACTTACTGACAAACACACTTGCTATGTCTTTAGTTCATTCTTTCTTTTCTTTTTCTTTCTTTCTCTCTCTTTTTCTTATTTGTTTGTTTGTTTGTTTATTTTGGTTTTTCGAGACCAGGTTTCTCTGTGTAGCCTTGGCTGTTGTGGAACTCTGTAGACCAGGCTAGCTTCAAACTCACAGAGATCTGCCTGCCTCTGCCTCCCCAGTGTTGGGATTAAAGGTGTGCACCTGGGTTCTACCACTGAGCTAAATCCACAACCCCTTAGCTTTTTTCAAGACAGGGTTTCTCTGTGTAGCTTTGGAGCCTATCCTGGGAACTCACTCTGTAGACCATGCTGACCTCGCACTCACAGAGATCCACCTTGCTCTGTCTCCTGAGTGCTGGGATTAAAGGCATGTGCCACCACCACCCAGCTTAATTTCTTATTTATTCTGTTATTTTATTGTACATTTAGTTTAATCTCAAAAATGTATTTATGTGTCTCTGGGTATGCCTGTGCGTGCACACAAGTCCTATATAATTGAAATTTTTATAAGAAATTAGGGGCTGGAGAGATGGCTCAGAAGTTAAGAACCCTGGCTGCTCTTCCAGAGGTCCTGAGTTCAATTCCCAGCAACCACATGGTGGCTCACAACCATCAATAGTGAGATCTGGTGCCCTCTTCTGACACACAGGCATACTATATACATAATAATAAAATAAACAAACAAATAAATAAATAAATAAAAGAAATTAGAATGCAGGGACACTCGATAAGGTCCTCTGAAGTCAGAAGCAGAGATCAACATTTAACAAGCCAAGAGAAATGTGCTGAATAAAGATAAACCCTTTATTTAGACTTAAAGCAAAGTTCACAATTTTGAGAAGATAAGTATTTGTTGTTTAAGCTGTTTGTCAAAGCAGCCAAGGTATGCAAATACACTGTTATGCCACCAACAGCCAAATTTTCCTTTGTCTTCTATTTTGTGTTGTATTTTCACCCTAAAAACTTAGAGCTGTCCACAAGTTTAGCAGATAAATGCTTTCTCATTCACAGACACTGGGACAAAGAATCATTTCACTGTGAAACCAAAAAAATTTCTTTCAAAATCACAGGTCATTTGCCTCCCATTGTAACATAGTTCCCCGAAAATGCTGTGCCCAGTTATTTTAGATCCATTTTATATGCTGATTTAAGAACTAAGCACATTTAGCTAATAATATAGATTCCTTTAGCTAATATGTTTATCACAGCAAAAGCCCACTCTAAATTTGGAGGCAATCAACCCACACAAATTGGGTATTAAACAACAAAGAAGGATTGATAGGGGGGCTATTAAGGTCATCAACAATATTCATAGCATCTCTGAGTTATTATTTTGAAAGATAATTGAAAATTTTCCTGTTTTTCTTGCAAAATTTGTTTCTCTGGTGCCATTTCTAAAATTTTACTTATTTAAAACCTCTTTTTTGAGACAGATAAACAGCCTATGGAGAAATTTAAGGAAAATTACACTTGCATCATGATGGGATTGAGGATGGAATTTGGTGGTCAGAATTCTTTCTCACATTAAGGGAAGAGGTGAGATAGTGATGTCTTAAGAGTGTGTCCATTCCCTGAATGTCTAATGGGGAGGCATTATTGGAGAAAGGGACAGTGATGTCTGGTTTTCCTGTCTGTCTTTGCAATTGCAAAAATCTAGAAAGCAACTTCACGGTATTCATTGTCTGCATTCTTGTAAAATTTCAAATGTAGATTTGGTTTTGCAGTTTCTTTTTCATTTTATTCCAGAGAATTTTGTCCTGTCTTGGTCAATATGTACACATCAGGTAGAACTCTCGATTGATTGTCTCACATAAGGAGGAGCTAAAAGAAATGACAGAATAACATGAGTGGGAAGATGAGATTTTCCATGCCAAACTCTAGGTTTGCTTATACCTTTCACATATTTAGCAAGTATTATTTTCTGAATATGAGAAGTTGGGTTGTGTTCTTAGAAAGCCAAAGCATCCTGACTGAAACATGTTATCAATGAACATTTCACATAGTGGGTTGGAAACTAATGGGGTGTCAGGGGATGTTCCCTGTCCAACCAACGGCGATACAGATATGGAAAAGAACACATGAGATCATCTAGACAATTATAAAATATCATCTATAGCATGTTCATGTATGATGAAATATTGGCATGTTGCAGCATCCAAACAAATTACAGAATACATGTGGAATAAGCTGGAAGAGCATAAAATGAGAATAAGGGCACCATACTAATACAGCATGTTTTTAGGAGGAACTACAAATTTAATAATCTACTGGCTTAGCCCCAAAACAAACAATACCATTCCTCTGCTATGAAAAACAAGACATATACTCCAGAACGGCTTTATATTCTAGGATGTGCCTAGGGAAAAATTTCCCATAAGGGAAAAATTGGCCCATAGAGGGATAAGAATGTTTCAAAGATCAAAAACAGGATGCTCTGAGAAAAATGTATGATATCCTGAGAATAGCTTCGATGAAGTTATTAGTGAGTTGTTAAAACTTGCTATTGTTAGACAGACAATAGGGCGCATAATGAATGTGTTCCTTTCCAGCTTATCTTCAAATGTAGAACCAGAAAACATTCATGGAGTCATGAATTTATAGTAAAATCATCCATGATCTTGAATGTCCTCATACTGGTAGCACAGCATGTCTATGCTAGGAAAGTGTTAGTGTTTCTATGATTGCAAGCTTTTCTGAGGATTCAAGTAGACAGCTATAACATATGTTCAATTGAATCTGGTAATTGCACATTTGCACTTTTAGCATCACCCAACATTAAGTTATTTCTATGTTCTGTTTAGAGTATTCCATTTTCTAATTGTGTTTTGATTATTTTTACAATAGCTA